CGGCGCGGCCGCTGGGCGGCTCGGCTGCTGGGCGGCTCGGCTGATGGGCAGCTCGGCTGCTGGGCGGCTCGGCGGCTCGGCTGCTGGGCGGCTCGGCTGCTGGGCGGCTCGGCGGCTCGGCTGCTGGGCGGCTCGGCTGTGCTGCTGCAGGGCACGGGGCCGCAGGTAAGGGCGGCGGGGCCGCTGGTAAGTGCGGCGTGGCCGCGGGTAGGGTGGCGGGGCCGCAGATAGGGTGGCGGGGCCGCGAGGAAGGGCGGCGGGGCCGCGCGATGGGGCGGCGGGGCCGCGCGATGGGGCGGCGGGGCCGCGCGATGGGGCGGCGGGGCCGCTAGGTAGGGCGGCGGGGCCGCTAGGTAGGGCGGCGGGGCCGCGCAATGGGGCGGCGAGGCCGCGAGGTAGGGCGGCGGGGCCGCGGAGACGGGTGGCGGGGCCACAGTGCAGGGCCGCTAGGGCGGCTCGACGAAGTGAGGGCCCGGAGCGCGACTCGGGCTGAGCGCGCTTCGGGCAGGGAAAAAAAAATCGATGTGGTGGGCCCTAAGCACAGTTCCCAAGGGGGAACCTGCTCGATACCATGAGAAGATTTGAACAAGAATGAATGAACTATGAAATGAAGTGAGTACAAATATGAAACCCTAATTGGTTGTACCCCCTATGGGATACCCCACTATAGCCTACACAACAGCATAAGCTATAATGTTCTGACACTTACGGCCCTTCGTGCCGCCCTTACGGCCCGTCGCGCCCGTCGCGCCGTCCTTACTGCCCCTCGTGCCGCCCCTTACGGCCCCTCGCGCCGTCCTTTACGGCCCCTCGCGCGGCCCCTTACGCCCTCCGCGGCCCCGCCACCTACCTGTGCGGCCCCGCCACCTACCTGTGCGGCCCCGCCACCTACCTGTGCGGCCCCGCCACCTTCCTGCTGGCCCCGCCACCTACCTGCGGCCCCGCCACCTACCAGCGGCCCCGCCACCTACCTGCGGCCCCGCCACCTACCTGCGGCCCCGCCACCTACCAGCGGCCCCGCCACCTACCTGCGGCCCCGCCACCTACTAGCGGCCCCGCCACCTACCTGCGGCCCCACCACCTACCTTTGCGGCCCCGCCGCCTCCTCTCAGCGGCCCCGCCGCCTCCTCCCAGCGGCCCCGGACGCCGCCCTCTCAGCGGCCCCGCCGAGCCGCCCAACAGCCGAGCCGCCCAGCAGCCGAGCCGCCCAGCCGCCGAGCCGCCCAGCAACCGAGCCGCCCAGAAGCCGAGCCGCCGAGCCGCCCAACAGCCGAGCCGCTGAGCCGCCCAGCAGCCGAGCCGCCGAGCCGCCCAGCAGCCGAGCCGCCGAGCCGCCCAGCAGCCGAGCCGCCGAGCCGCCCTGCAGCCGAACCACCCGAGCCGCCCTGTCCGGTAAGAGCAGCGCCTCTTTCACAGCACTGCCCTCACCCTACTGTTTGCGCTGCTAGTCTACTGCTGTCATGGCTACCCCTAGTGTCCTCGCTTTTGACGCTGAGGGTCGGGCCATTGACTTTGACGTCTGGATAGATGACCTGCAGCTTTTCTTACAGTGCGACAGAGCAGACGGCCTCTCCCTCTTTGACCTCACTTCTGGTGCCTCTCCTGCCCCCGCTGCTGATGCTGACGCCACTGTTCGCTCACAGTGGGCCACGCGCGATGCTGCTGCACGTCTTGCTGTGCGTCGCCACCTGCCTACCTCTGAGCGTGCGCACTTTAGCCAGCACAAGAGTGCTCACACCTTGTACGACGCTGTAGTTGCGCGCTACTCCTCCCCTGCCACTGCTGCACTGAGCCGCCTCATGCTACCGTACCTCTTCCCTGACCTTGCTGCCTTTCCCACAGTCGCTGACCTCATTACGCACCTCCGCACTAGTGACACTCGCTACCGCGCTGCGCTTCCTGCTGAGTTCTGCGCCAAGAACCCTCCCCCCATGTACATCACCCTCTACTACATAGTCACCCGGCTCCCTGACTCCCTTCGCGTAGTCAGGGACCACTTCCTCTCAGTTTGCCCCACCACTCTCACCGTTGACCTCCTCGAGAAGTCCCTCCTAGCAGCAGAGAAGAGCATAGTAGCTGTAGGAGCCTCTCGTGGTGACCCTCGCACCCCCATCTTTGAGGGGTGTTCCCCCTCCCCCCTTTTGCCCTCTGTTGCCTCTGCTGCTGCGGCCGACCTCGTTGGGCTTGAGTCGGTCGGTGCGGCGTCTACCCCTAGCGGGAGACGCCGCCCTGGCAAGGGCAAGGGGGGCAGGGGCACTGGAGGAGCTAGCGGGGGCGGTGGAGGCGGCGGTGGAGGCAGTGGAGGGGGTGGGGGTGGCGGTGGGGGTGGTGGTGGGGGTGGAGGTGTCGGTGGCGGCGGTGGAGGCGGAGGCGGCGGCGGCGGTGGCGGTGGGAGCGGAGGTGGCGGCGGTGGAGGAGGCGGCGGCGGAGGAGGTGGAGCTGGTCGGGGTGGCGCTGCGCAGAGGGTCGGCTCCGGTGGTGGTCCGCGCCAGCAGCAGCAGCAGCAGCAGCGCACTCATGACATCCCCCCTCCTCAGCAGCTCCGTGAGTGGTACGCTGCACGCCAGCGGGGTGGGGGTACTGGTCCGTGCACCTACGTCCTACGCACCGGCGACCGCGCGGGTGACCAGTGCGGGGGTGCGCACTCCACCCAGCGCTGCTTTGGCCGCCTGACGGACGCGTGGCGTCACCAGTTCCCTGAGGCCACTGAGATCCCCCGCTGGGGTGAGCTGTCTAGGGCGGGTGTCGCTGTCTTTGACCTTGACTTTGATGCTATTCTTGCTGCCATGTATACTGTGACTATTAGTGATGAGGGTGACTGTTACCGGTGTTTTCCGCCCGACCCGAACATTGAGACTGCTGCTCTAGGTACTGGTGAGGCTGCTGCTCTAGGTGCTAGCGAGGCTGCTGCTCTAGGTGCGTCTGCTCCCTCAGGTGCTGGTGAGTCTGCTCTCTCAGGTTCTGCGTCGGCTTCGGCCTCCCACACCTTCACCCTTGACTCGGGGGCTTCTCGCTCCTTCTTTCGAGACCGCACCACACTCACGCCGCTTGGCCGGCCAGTTGCGGTCTCTCTGGCAGACCCCTCTGGGGGTCCTGTCCTTGCTCACTTCTCCACTGTCCTCCCGTGTCCGGCGGCCCCCTCTGGCATCCTGTCTGGTCTTTACCTCCCCTCGTTCTCTACGAACTTGGTGAGTGGTGCTGACCTACAGGATGCGGGGGTTCACCAGTTCACTCCTGCGAGTCAGCGGGTGACCCACTGCACGGACGCTCGGACTGGCCGACACCTGGCCACGTTTACCCGTCGGCCGGGGTCGAGCCTGTACACCCTGACCACTGCGTCTCCTCCAGTCACTGCGTCTGTTCAGGTAGCTGCGTCGGGTCAGGTGTTTGCTGCAGCGTCCAGGTCTGGTCCTGAGTCTGCCCCCTGTTCGTGTCGCCTCCTGTCTCACGAGACTCTCCTCTGGCACCACCGCCTTGGTCACCCCTCCCTGCTTCGTCTCCGAGGCATGGCCTCCCGTGTCCTTGTCTCTGGTCTTCCCCGGTCCCTCCCTCCCCTTCCTCCGGGGCCTGGCCCTACCTGCGTCCCCTTTGTCGAGGGGCGGCAGCGGGCTGCCCCTCACTCCTCCCAGTTTCCTCCGACAGAGGCCCCGCTGCAGACGCTTCACATGGACGTGTGGGGCCCGGCCCGCGTCCGTGGACAGAGTCACGAGCGCTACTTCCTGCTGGTGGTTGACGACTACTCGCGTTACACCACAGTCTTCCCCTTGCGCAGCAAGGGTGATGTCACTGAGGTGTTGATCGACTGGATCCGCGCAGCTCGTCTCCAGCTCAGGCAGAGCTTCGGCTCGGACTTTCCTGTTCTGCGTCTGCACTCTGACAGAGGTGGAGAGTTCTCCTCTGGCCTTCTGCGAGCCTACTGTCGTGCACGAGGCATCCGCCAGACCTTCACGCTTCCGGACTCTCCACAGCAAAATGGGATTGCTGAGCGCCGCATTGGCATGGTCATGGACGTCGCCCGTACGTCCATGATGCATGCGGCTGCCCCCCATTTTCTGTGGCCGTTTGCGGTTCGGTACGCGGCGCATCAGATCAACCTTCACCCCAGGGTCTCCATGCCGGAGACCTCCCCAGCCTTGCTGTGGACGGGGAAGGTTGGCGATGCGTCTGCGTTCCGTGTCTGGGGATCTCGGGCGTTTGTCCGCGACTTGTCTGCGGACAAGCTGTCCCCTCGTGCTGCTCCTTGCGTCTTCCTTGGCTTCCCCCCTGACGCGCCTGGGTGGCAGTTCTACCACCCCACCTCTCGCCGTGTTTTGTCCTCCCAGGACGTCACGTTTGACGAGTCGGTCCCCTACTACCGCCTCTTCCCCTACCGCACTCCGTCCCTCCCCCCGCCACCGCTCTTCCTTGTACCAGGTCCCCCCTCGGTAGACCCCCTCCCCCCTCAGGGTCCTGCCCCTTCAGGTGTGTCCCAGGTAGACGCAGTCGAGCCTGTCGAGGTTACTAGTGACTCGGGAGTACTGGAGCTGCTGGGCCTGCGGGTACGACTGGAGCTGGAGCTGCTGAGTGGTGTTGGCGCTGAGGCTACTGCTGTCGGTCCTGGAGGCGGTCCTGCTGGGGGTGCTACTGGTGCTGCTGGAGGTACTGGAGCTGGAGGTGCTGCTGGCGCTGGTGCTGCCGCTGGGGGTACTGGTGCTGTCCCTGCTGTGTCTGGAGTCGCCGTGCGGCCTAGGCCGTACTTCGTTCCGCTCCTTCAGCAGGTTCTTGGTCTCCCGCCTTCTACTGGTCCTCCTCCTCCCTTAGAGTGTCCACAGCCTGTCCCGTCACAGTTACAGTTACAGCCGGCCTCCCCACTGCCTGCTCCTTCTCCCTACACTGGTCCTACTGGAGGTCTTGCTGAGCGTCGTGAGCCTGCGTCTCGCCCTGCGTCGCCTGTCCGTGCTGCTCGCACTAGTGGTCGTGGTTCGCGTCAGCGTCCTCCTCCTGTCCCTGGCACGCACCGGATGTCTCTGCGTCCGTCCACTGCTCCTCTGCGTGCCCCTTTGCCTTCTCCTCCTGAGTCCTCTCTTCCTGCTCTTCCCGACCCGGAGTCGGACTCTCTTCGTGCTGCCAGTCCTACTGTCACGCGTCTCCTTGCTACTGTTGTCACTGACCCTTCCTTTGAGTCCACTGCTGCGTCTGCCCTAGTTACTGAGCTCGTCGACTTTGCTGCTCGCTGTCGTCTAGACTACGCTGCTAGTCTTGTAGTTGAGTCTGAGTCTGTCTGTCCTCCGTCCGTCGGGGGTGAGTGTGCCCTTGGCACGGACGTCCTTGAGGACAGGCAGGAGGAGTTCCAGTGTTTGGCTGCTGCTTCACCTCATCTCGTGTCCGTACTGCTTACCCCTGAGGGAGACCCGGATGCACTTGACATCCCGACTCCGCGCTCTTACGCGGAGGCGATAGAGGGTCCCTACTCCTCTCAGTGGCAGGCAGCTATGGACGCAGAGATGGCTTCCTGGAAGTCCACAGGCACCTACGTTGACGAGGTTCCTCCGCCTGGGGCGAACATCGTCAGTGGCATGTGGATTTTCAGGGTGAAGCGGCCGCCGGGTTCTCCGCCTGTCTTCAAGGCGCGTTACGTGGCTCGTGGCTTCAGTCAGCGGCAGGGAGTTGACTACTTTCAGACCTTCTCTCCCACCCCGAAGATGACCACTCTTCGGGTACTGCTGCACATAGCTGCTCACCGCGACTACGAGCTGCACTCTCTTGACTTCAGCACTGCTTTCTTGCAGGGCAGCCTGCACGAGGAGATCTGGCTGCGTCGCCCACCTGGCTTCACTGGGTCCTTTCCTCCTGGCACCCAGTGGAGCCTCCGGCGGCCAGTCTACGGTCTCCGCCAGGCACCGCGTGAGTGGCACGACACACTGAGGACTACACTTGCGGCTCTTGGGTTTGCTCCCTCTACTGCCGACCCGTCGCTGTTTCTGCGCACCGACACTTCTTTGCCGCCGTTCTACATCCTCGTGTACGTCGACGACTTGGTCTTCGCCACAGCTGACACTGCTGGACTCGCCCACGTGAAGTCCGAGCTGCAGAAGAGACACACGTGCACAGACCTGGGTGAACTGCGTAGCTACCTTGGCTTGCAGATCACCCGGGACAGAGCACGCCGCACCATTACCCTGACTCAGTCACACATGGTGCAGCAGGTCCTTCAGCGCTTCGGCTTCACGTACTCCTCGCCTCAGGCCACTCCTCTGCCTACCCGCCACTCGCTCTCAGCTCTGCCTTCGGATGAGTCCGTAGAGTCGAGTGGCCCGTACCCAGAGCTTGTTGGCTGCCTCATGTACCTGATGACCTGCACACGACCTGACCTTGCATACCCTCTTAGCATTCTTGCACGCTATGTTGCTCCTGGGAGACACAGACCGGAGCACATGGCTGCAGCGAAGAGGGTGTTGCGCTACTTGTGCAGTACGTCGGGCATGGGGCTTGTGCTTGGAGGGCAGAGTCCAGTGGTCCTCACTGGGCACGCAGACGCTTCTTGGGCTGACGACCAGGCTACGCAGCGGTCGTCACAGGGTTACACCTTTAGCCTTGGTTCCGGCTCTGTTTCGTGGCGGGCTACCCGCTCGTCTTCTGTTCTCAGCTCCAGTTGTGAGGCTGAGATCTACGCCGGGGCCATGGCTGCACAGGAGCTTCGCTGGCTCACCTACCTGCTGACTGACCTCGGAGAGCCGCCTCGTTCTCCTCCAGTACTGTACGTAGACAACAAGGCCATGCTGGCCTTGTGTCGAGAGCAGAGACTGGAGCACAGAACGAAGCACATTGCTCTCCGCTACTTCCTTGCTCGTGAGCTACAGCAGCGTGGTCAGCTGCGGCTTGCGTACGTGGCCTCTGAGGCCAACACTGCTGATATCTTCACCAAGGCACTTGCGCCTTGTGATCATCAGCGCTTCTGTACTCAGCTGGGTCTTGTGCCTACCTTGCCTCACTTGCTCACCCCTTGACCTTGTTTGTACTGTTGCATATATATACATACACCTGCTCTTGCTTGTCTAGCCTTATATATATATGTAATCCTGCATGTGAACTGGCCTTGTGGCCTTGAACTTGTGCTCGGAATGTGTGGTGACTTTGTGATCCACCCTGAGCTTGTTTTGCTTTGCTTGACTGGTCTTGTGATCCCTTGTTCTCCCCCACTTTGCCTATGGGGGTGTGTCAGATTTATATGACATAGCTACTGTAGGCTATAGTGGGGTAGCACATATGGGGTACAGTTTTCCTAGGGTTTGCATTTGTAACCAACTTTCCCTTAGTCATTTTCATTCCTCGTTTCTTCTCATCACCAACAGAATCACAGTTTCTCGATAAAGTCTGAAGTTATTCTGGCTCATTTTGTATACAGTCGCTCAAAAAAGGAATTCTAGAACTTGCAAAAAAATAAATATTATGCCCGTAGCGAAACTATATGATTTCCAGGAAGGATCAACCCTAAATACCGAAAGCCACTCAATATTTTGGAAAACATACTGCAACCCACTTGACAAAATAAAAAATACCCACCTCGGATTGGGATGCGGCTCGGGAGGCATCAACCCTAAAAACGATGCCCATTCCCGAATTTAGGGTTGACCCCTCTCGAAAATGCATCCAGGTTCCCTAGGGGTTTTATTTTTTTCTGCCATGCCCGAATAGGTATCGGTAGTGTCGTCTAGTGCTTTCGGTAGCGTTGTTTAGCGGTCGGTTGCGCTACTGAGTACTACCAAGTGAATTATATGGGCTTCATTCTCTTAATACCTTAATTTCCGTACATATATCCAAGTCGGGAGGGTAAACTGGATGGTTTTGTTTTTGTTACTTCCTAATGAGTTCGACCAGCGTGAGAAATGTGACTAAAAAGCGACGACCAATCAACGTTGAGAAAGTCCAGGTTGATCACACCTGAGAACGCGCTCTGGAAAAATCTGAGTATCGGAGATAATGGCCGCAGGGCCCCGTAATGGGCGAGGGTTACTTTGTCCTCACACGGGACTCTTAAGATAGGCTAGGAGACAAGTGTCGAGAGTAATGTTTGAGTAAGGAGGGACAAGGAGATACAAATGTCGACCTAAAGTGTTGTACCCTTTAGAGGGCAACTCACAGTAGCCTATCTAACAATATATAGAATATATAAACATTTGACACACCCCCATAGGCTAAGTGAGGGGCATCAAAACAACCAACGGAAACAAGGGGTCACAAGACCAGTCAAGAACAAGCATAAAAAAACAAAGCTCAGGGTGGCGCTCAGAGTCACCACACACTCCGAGCACAAGCAAGTGGCCACAAGGCCAGTTCAAGAGTTTACTAGTATATATAGAAGCACAACAAGTAGAGCAAACAGCAAGTCTACAGCAACCGAGGGCCTACCTCAACAAGCCCCAGCTGCACACAGAACCTGTGGTGGTCACCAGGCGCCAAGGCCTTGGTGAAGACGTCGGCAGTGTTGGCCTGTGAGGCCACAAAGTCCAAACGTGCCTGACCGCGTCGCTGCAACTCTCGCAGGAGGAAGTACCTCACGTCAATATGCTTCACTCTGCTCTCCAGTCGAGGCTCTCGACACAGGAGGATCATGGCCTTGTTGTCAGCGTACAAGGTCGGTGCAGAGCGAGGCCGCTCACCAAGGTCGGCGAGCAAGAAGGTCAACCAGCGAAGCTCCTGTGCCGCCATGGCACCAGCGTAGATCTCTGCCTCTGCACTGGAAGTAGCCACAGACGACGACCGTGTAGACCTCCACGACACAGCACCAGCTCCCAGACTGAAGCAGTAACCCTGAGTCGAACGCTGAGTCTCCACGTCGTCAGCGTAGGAAGAGTCGCAGTGACCAGTCAACGCCACTGGCTGAGTCCCTCCAAGCACAAGCCCCATGCCTGATGTAGTCGCCAGGTACTTCGCCACCCTCACAGCAGCTGTCCAGTGGACAGGGCGGTGTCTCCCAGTCGCAACAAAGCGAGAAAGGATGCTGAGTGGAAAGGCGAGGTCCGGTCGAGTACAAGTCATCAGGTACATGAGGCAGCCCACCAGCTCTGCGTAGGGTCCACTGGACTCAAAGGGCTCGTCAGGAAAGGGGCCCGTGAGTCTGTGGTCAACAGTAAGAGGAGTGGGCTGTGTGGTGGAGAACTGGAAGTCGAACCGCCGAAGGATCTGCTGCACCATGTGTGACTGCGTCAGTGTGATGGTGCGAGCGGCTCTGTCCCGGGTGATCTGCAGGCCAAGGTAGCGCTGCAGCTCACCCAGGTCAGTGCACTTGTGTCTCTTCTGCAGTTCGGACTTCACCTGAGCCAGGGCTGCCCTGTCTGCTGTAGCAAACACCAAGTCGTCGACATAGACAAGGATAAAGAAAGGAGTAGAACCCGCTCGAACAAACAGCGACGGGTCGGCGGAGGACGGGCTGAACCCAAGGTCACGAAGCGTGGAGCGAAGAGTGTCGTGCCACTCACGGGGCGACTGGCGGAGACCGTAGACTGGTCGCCTCAGGCTCCACTGGGTCCCAGGTGGGAAGAACCGCCGCTCCAGAGGAAGCTGCGGTGGCGGCTGCGGCCGCTGCTGCTGCGGCTGCGGCTGCTGCTGCTGCGGCTGCGGCGGCGGCTGCGGCTGCTGCTGCTGCTGCTGCTGCTGCTGCTGCTGCTGCTGCCGCTGCTGCTCCAGAAGGTCCAGCACCCGCAGCTCCTGCCGCTCCCTCTCCAACCGCTCCTGCTCCTCACGCTCACGCCGACGGGCAGCCTGGAGACGCGTGTCGTGGCGGTGGGGAGGCGGAGTGGACTCCGCAGAACCAGGGTCTCCAGCGTCAGTCCCCTCAGACTCAGCACCCCCAGAACCAGCACCGCCAGTGCCAGGACCTCCAACTCCAGCACCCCCAGAACTAGCACCGCCAGTGCCAGCACCCCCAACTCCAGCACCCCCAGAACCAGCACCTCCAGTGCCGGCACCTCCTGCTCCAGCACCCCCAGAGCTAGCGCCACCTGCGCCAGCACCTCCAGCTCCAGCACCCCCAGAGCTAGCGTCACGTGCGCCAGCACCTCCAGCTCCAGTACCCCGCGACCGAGCACCCCCAGACCGAGCACCGCCAGCGGCTGCACCTCCAGCTCCAACACCAACCGAGTCCAAAGTAACCTGTCGCGGAAGTGCCGAAGGCTGCTGAGGGGACTGTGAGGAGGACTGCGGGGAGGGAGACGCTACCTGACGCGCGACTGAGGGTAGAGGGGTAGCGTGGGACACACCAGACGGGGCAGGACCTGGGGGGGGCGGGGGTACCGGAGGAGCGGGAGCAGGAGGAGGAGAGGGTGCGAGGAAGAGAGGGGGAGGGGGTACCGGGAGACCTCGACAGGGGTACCGGGTGTAGTAGGACACGAACTCGTCAAACCGGACGTCACGGGAGTCTAGGAACTGGTGGAGGGGAGGGTGGTAAAAGGACCAGTCAGCAGAGTCCACTGGGAAACCAAGGAAGACACATGGGACGGCGCGTGCCGAGAGCTTGTCCGCGGAGGTGTCGCGAACAAGTGCAAGGCAGCCCCAGACTCGAAAGGCCGACCCAACACCAGGGGATCCAGTCCAAAGACTGGTCGGTGAAGCCTCGGGCCGCGAGACACGCGGCTGGAGGTTCAGCTGGTGTGCGGCGTAGCGAACCGCGTGGGGCCACAGAAAATGGGGCGCACGGGCATGAATCATGGACGTGCGGGCGATGTCCATAACCAAGCCTATGCGGCGCTCAGCAACCCCATTCTGCTG